CACACTCTCTCTCTCTCTCTCTCTCTCTCACACACACAAACACACACACACACACACACACACTAGACACTGAAAAACAAACACACTAACACACACACACTCTCTCTCTCTCTCACACACACACAAACACACACACACTTGTTTTTTTCACTCACCTTGTTTAATGTGATTAAAGTCGATGATCCAGCTCTCATCCCAGAAGAGTTTCTGTTTCTGATATTTAAACCACTGCAAACACACACACACACACACACACACACACACACACACCACCACCACCATCATCATCATCTCTACATAAATAAAATGCTTCATAAATAATATATATATCTTTATATAAACATTGACTTAAGTATTTTATTACTTTTGTTTTTTTTAATTAACGTAAATCTTAAATGTCAACAGATCATGAAAAATATACACAAGGATTATTGTCGTTAACTAAAACTAAAACCATAAAAAACATTTTGCTTGAAATAATGTAATGCTCATTAATGTTGCCTAAAATAAAATAAAATATAAAAAAACACATATACCTATTTTATTTCAGCTAGTTGCCAAGGCAATATTTCTCATTTTCATTTAGTTGAAATAAAACTAAATAAACTAAAATTTCAAATATTCAAATAAATTAAAATAAACTTGAAGTACTAAAATAACCAAAACTAAATGAACTAAAATTAACTAAATTAACTAAAACGAATAAATAAGCATTTAAATACAATTTCAAATAAAAAATACAAAATAGAACCAAAACTTATAAAAATGACAAAAACACAACCAAATTACTAAAACTTTTACAAAAATTAAAGTTAAAACAGAAAATATAAAAATAAAATCTTATTCAAAATATCAACAAAGACTATAATAGTATATTAATAATACTAAAATGATACTAATATACACACAAGATCATTCGTCACAAAAAATTAACCAGAAATTTTAATTTCACCTAAGTAATTTTGAGTGTTTACTTATTATGCTAATTATTTATAAAGAATAATATATACTAATACACACATATCATCTCTAGAGTATATGGATGACTTTGTTTATATGTTTCACACCCAGCAATGCCACATAAATGAAGTTCTTCATATATAAAATAAACATTTTAATATCAAAATAAAAATAGTTTATTATTTTTCAAAAGATTTTAACATAATAAAGCTTTTAATGTTTTAATCGATTGTGAAAAATATACACAAAAAATGCAAAATTTAATTTCATGGGATTTCACCTATAATAAAGTAATATTGAGTGTTTACTCAGTATCTTGATTATTTACAAAGAATAATATGTATTATATAATAAATCATTTTGTATGAATATTCAATGTCTGTGGTGTCACCCAAACGATTGTTTCTTTTTAATAATAATCAGAAAAAGTGTATGAAACATTTGAAGGCATAAATATATAGTTCAGTCATGAAACTCTAGATGGCGCAGGCGACGGGTTGTTAACGTAACCGATGATATTCAGAGAGTTAAACGACTTGGCTCAATCTGATTGGTTCAATATAACATTGTTATATCCATCACCATGCTAAAATCTTCAGAGAGTTGTCATGATTGAAGTATTTTGAAATATCTTGAATTAATTGTATTATTCATTTATTTATGCTAATGAACCATCAGAAAACTTGAAAACACTTGGTAGGTCTTCAAGCTTTGTTTAATTTCTATGCACCTCAATGAATGTGTTCTATAATCTTGATCTCCAGTCATGTCTGGGTGTGTGTGTGTGTGTGTGTCTGTGTGTGTGGGTGTGTGTGTCTGTGTGTGTGTGTGTGTGTGTGTGTGTGTGTGTGTGTGTGTGAGAGAGAGAGCGAGAGAGAAC